CCTGGGTTCAGGGAGCCACCAGCTGCCGCCCTGAACACTCATCCAACCAAACAGCTGTGGAGCATTTGTCCCACATTAGGTGCTGGATGAGGGCCTGGGTAACAAAGATGATCTGACCCAGCTTGCCCTTAAGAAGTCCAGGGCTTGGCAGGAGAGTCAAACAAGGTAAGAGCAAGAAGTCCCAGGCCTCTGGTGATGAATTTCTATATTAGGGGTAACCTCACCCCTTAAAATAGGACCACTTGAGCCATGCCTGCCTGCACATCCTGGCAGCTCTAAACTGTTCCTAAGCCGACAGATGAAGGGCTGACACTCACACTGTAAGCCTCTTTATCCAAGAAGAAAACCTTATGTCCCACAGTGGCAAATTAGATTTGAAGTAAACACAACCCCAGGAGAGGTAATATATTGGTTAAGATGTAAATTGAATTAAACCGCGTTAGAGCTGAAATACGTCTTACAAACATTAACTTCAACCCTCTGCCTTTTCACGTAGGAGGACACTGAAGTCAGTGGGTAAGCAGTTCCCCTCTCCAAGCCTTCACTTGAGGAAGAAGAGTGAAATGACTTATAGCAAACCCCTTGGAGACAGCAGATTTGATCAGGAGAGTGAGCCCTGGGGGTGTCTTGATAGGGGTGGAGGGTGGGAGGAAAGGGAAGGCTTGGAAAAAGACAGCTCCGCACAGATGAAAATTACATTTTCCTATTACCTGGTGAAAAGATATATCCCCTAGGGTCAGGAATGCTTCTTTGATCTTGCCTTTCAGTCCAGAAACACAAAAGCCACCAAAGCTTTAGGTGTGGGGAAGAAGCCCTTAGCAATGCCTGCGCCAGTACATTCTGGGGAGTGGGCCAGTTCTGGGTCTGGAAAATCCATCGTGGACTTAAATCTTCCTTGGAGGCAACATTACTAAGAGGAAAGACTTTGGCTGGGACACAAGGATCCCTGGTGCCATTTATGCTCATGGATGTAGTTTGCAAATTCCAGCAGGTAGATTCGAGAAAAAGGAAAGAGACACACACACACACCAGAAGGGGCTAGGCAGAAATTACACCATGGAAAGCTTGCAGGCATGCATCTATTTTAAGAGCATGGGCTATGCATCCACACATACACAAAGGCACGCGTGTACATAAGAATTTCAAATACTACAAACACAGGTATCCTGCAGCAAGGTAGGGGTGGGACATTTCTTCATAAAATTTGCAAATTTTATGGAAACGACTGAACCCAACTAAAGCTTTGTTGCTAAAAGATTATTGTAATGATCTGTCCCTGTTTGTCTTTTTCTCCACTTTAGTAATGAATCTGCCCCTGGAAGCAGTATGTACTGCTGAGGGTTGAACACCATGCCTCTAGTTCTGCTGACATTCAGAATCCAGCTTTAGGCCTGGGCAGCCTACAAGTCTTTGGGTCTCCAAGTGCACTTAGAGCTCGGGTAAAGTATTTCCTTGAGCTGAGTGAGTGCCATTGCCAGCTCTCTATGCAATCAACAAGGCTTGCCTTTGCCTTTGGAAGCTGCAGATTTTCTTTCTAGACGTTTAACTCCCATCTCTTCAGATATTTATGTTCTGTGCCCACACACCTCTCAACTCCAACATGCACCCGCACTTCCTGCATGCCCTTTTCCTTCCCAGCCACTCACAGGAAAGAGAGGTGAGCTGGGGTCTGTGTTGGACTGCTGACCACCTTGAGTGTTTCATATTCCTGGAGCAGTTCTAAAACTGGTCCATGAGGTTTCAGACTTCCTAGTGAACTGGAAAGACATTTTCGGAGTTAAGTTTATGGAACACAGTGAAATGACCCTACTAAGCTATACCTTCCAAACTGACAAAAACTACAAAGTCTGACATTAATTGTTTATCCACTTTTCTATGCATGTGTCATGTTTCATTTTTTTAAAACAAAAGCTTACCCCAAATCATTCCACTAAGCAGAGCTGCTCCCAGAGCTGATTTTACCAAAAGGTTAACTCAAAATAGTTGAGATTCCATTTCTTTCTCCTTCCTTCCTCTTTCATCTGCAAATGAAGTTTCCATTCCTACCTCCTCCTATATACTCAAGGTGGAACTGGGGCTGTATCCCATAAATGCGTACCTGCTTATGCTGCCAACCATGGATCTTACTCTGGGCAAAATCCCTCTCCAATCTGACCCCTTTCGTCTTGTCTGACCTCCAAAGAACTCCCCTAGGGATTCAAGAATATTCAAGGACCTGGAGCAGAATTTAACTTCCATTCCTCCTGCAGACCGAGCTGGAGAGGGAGTGTTTTTTCAATTTACCCAACAGTCTGCCTTTTCGATTACTGCAGACTCCAGACAGTCAGCTGGCATGAGCCTTGAGACAAACTCAAGTGAATACAGTGCTCTACTCTTTGGGCACAGGGGCCCCGACCCATCTGAAGACTACTGTCACACTTCAGCACCCTATCACCTTAGGCTGTCTGGTTTGGGGAAACCTTCCCTAACTCAACTTTAATCCTATTTAATGGAACTATGCGATATAGTCAGAGTCCTGCCTAGAAATTCCCTTGGAAGAGCTATTGTTTGGAGTTCTTGTTAGGAAAAACTGATGCTTGCAGGGAAGATGGCAGTGATTTGAAGAAACTTACAGGGCTGATGAGAAAGAGTCCTGGACGAGGAACCAGAAGGCCCTGTGTTTCCTAGCACCGTGAAATTGGTCAAGTCATATAATTTCCTTGGCTCTCACACTATCCAGGAACAAATGGGCTAAATGTATATGGAATGCTTTAAAAACATAATATTCTATACAAATATAAGGTATTATTATTATTATTATTATTAAGGTCCAGTTGCTACTAAACATACCACAGTCTTGCCATGGAGATACTCTCATTGATGTAACTAAAACTGTTTTTGGCAAAAACCAGGTTACTGTGTGACTGTATAGACAATACCACCCTGCTGGGGCAGTGGTGTTGCATCAGATTCACCCATGCTCCCTCCTGAGCAGGGAGGGCTCAGCTGCTGGACAAGGCTGGAACAAGGCTGTGGCCTTTGAACAAGCCCAGCCCATTGGCCTTCTCAGAGGCTGAGCACCTGACCTTGGCCTCCTGAGCTGTACTCTCCCCGCCAGATCTATCTTTCTCAAGCTGTGTTCTCCAGGCAGAATGACAACTGCGTGGCTGCCAAGGTCAGGTAAAAGCAGAAGAGGGTGCTGTGGCTCCTGTCCCTAGAGAAGAGCAATCCTTTTCTCAAAGGGGCATTGCACATTTGGATGATTCTGAGGTCTAGGGAAACAGAGGCACCTCCCAATATTGGACCTTGGTTTAATGCCTTTTGAATGCATCTGAAAGAATCAGAAAGTGGTTTTTAACTAGGAGGAAGAGTCCCAAGCCTGCAAGAAGCCCATTGGTAGTGGGATGGTGCTGACCATCCCAGTGTCATCATTCTGGCTGTTAATGTTGAGAAAGAAGAAACTCAAGATGCCCAGGGTCCTAATTCTTTGAAAGAACCTCTTAAAGAGAGTGGCAGACAGCGAGGAGGAGGCTGATGCGGTTCTATTGGCCACCCTGATCTGTCTACAAAGCTCAGGCTCTAAAACCCTCTCATCAGACCTCTTAATTGATGTGATTAAGGACCTTCCAACCCTCCCCGAACCAACAGCCACATTCAGAAAACACCTCATCATAGCATTGGAGGCGCCAAGCCCAAGGGCGGGTGGAGAAGGACTTTCTGGGAAAGATTTTAGGAGTATAACTGCAATGTTTCATGATCTTTGTGGCAGCTGCTTGGGAAAGCAATGTGGGAATGTTTGTCCCCAGTCTCTCCTTGGTCAGAGCCTTGTTTAATTTAACCATTTCAAAGTATTTTCATACTGATTACTGTACTTTGCATCCTCTCAGCACTCATACAGAGTAGGCAGGGTACTATTCTCGCTGTACAGATGGAGAAGGTAGGACATGGCTGCTTGGCAGCACAAAGAGCAAGGAACTCATTCCATCCTGACACCAAGCCTGCTGCTCTTTCTGCCACAAATCACTACAACTACTAATCATGGATCAAGCAACTTTAGCTCTTTCGTGATAGCCCCCCAAAAGCCCACTTTTTCATGAGGAATATTGCTATGTTTACAATCATTGTGTTATTGAATTTACCACTTAGAGCAATGCTGTCAACATTAAAGAAATAGATTTCTACTTGGAGCAGCAGCTCTTTGAGTCAGTTTCAAGTATCAGTCCAAGAACCGGATGCAAGTCAATGAAACATATCCATAAAGTTTCTTACCCATAAGGTTGAATAATGCTCGTTAGTTACTTTTTGGGTGACTAAATGATTTCTCATTATATGTTAGGGCATCACAACAACAAGCACTGTCAACATTATTACAGTATCTGTAACAACTCCCAGCTCCCGCCATCATGTCACACACCACTAGATGAAAACCACAGCACCACCTGCAGAACCCTCAGAGCCCAGACAGAAGAGTATGGTGTGTTTGTCTATGAAAATTGCATGACTCATCTATTCATCCTGGGCATGACCAGCCTGAATGCTGAGTAGGAAACATTACTTATTAGTAATCATTTTTATGTCTTCTTCTTCTAAAATGAATTTCAGGTGGATTTACACACATGAAGAAAGGGGTATGCACCAGAACAGAGAGAAATTAGGAACCATATACAAAGGAAGGAGATGATTCCACCTTAACACTGGAGGCAAGATGCTTATTGTACCTTTACATTTCATTGATTTCTGAGGTCCCTGGAAGTCAAGGTAAAAATGAAGACATTGGTTATACGATTAAGAGGATCTTATAGATGAAAAAGAGAAGCTACAGTATTGGCATTTCTAGTTAACTGATTTTCTTTGTTACCAACAATTTGGCATAATTTTGGATGAATCTTTAATGTATATTTTCCTTTTCATAAAATAGAATGGGCTAAGTCTAATCAGGGCACGTGCTAGCTGAAAATTGAAGTTTGATACGCTTTGGGGCTCCATCAAGAAAAAGATACGGAAATCAGAATCCTCCTTACCTCCTCCAGTTTATCCACTCGCCCCACCAGTTTGGTGGTGACTGAATGTAGCTTCAGGAGATCCAGGCCATAGAATGCTCCTTCCAACATGTCTATGATTGTGGAGAGCTAGGAAACAAGGCAAGGGGTTAGTCCAGGGCTGGGGCAGGCAGACTGCAGGGCAGAGCTTCCTTTCAGATCTGCATGCTGGAGGTTCGACAGGAAAGCCACCAGCCAGGGATTGAGAGGCTGCTGTGAGACACACGTTTGTGTGGGCAGGGATGTAGGCAAGCGCAATGGTGTATGCGCATTCTGCCCTCTGAAATGTTTGGGTAAGAAAATGGTAGAGTCCTACAAGAACAAGTGAACCTGAGGTCTAGACTCCTTCACAAACCGTTTATGCCTCTTTTATGAAATCTGCAGCTTGCATTGACATCTCTCTTTCCTACTAGACTGTGAGCTTCTTGAAAGTAGTGTCTCAATAGCAAACACATGGAGTCAACCTAAATGCACATCAATGACAGGTTGGATAAAGAAAATGCAGTACATACATACCATGGAATACTATGCAGCCATGAAAAAATGAGATCATGTATTTTAGGGGAACATGGATGGAGCTGGAGGCCATTATCCTTAGCAAACTAACACAGGAACAGAAAACCAAATACCACATCCTCTCACTTACAGGTGGGAACTAAATGATAAGAACCCACAGACACGAAGAAGGGAGCAACAGATACTAAGGTCTACTTGAGGATGGAGGGTAGGAAGAGGACAGGAGCAGAAAAAAATAACTATTGGGTACTAAGCTTAGTAATAATCTATACAACAAACTTCGTGGTGCAAGTTTACCTATATAACAAACCTGCACATGTACCCCTGAACCTAAAATAAAAGTAAAAAAGAAAAAAAAAGAAAAAAAGCAGTGTCTATGTATTCTTCATCTCTGTTCCCCAAGATCCCTGGCTTATAACAGGTATTCTTATTCCGTAAATATTCAACAAGATGGTTCTACATGTCAATATCTTGAGAATATGCCTCTGAAACACTAACTTCATTGTCTATTAAAGGCTCTGAAAGACATCGACAGGTTTTCCTTAGCACAGAGAGCTAAACTGACCCTGGGGTAAAAGAAGACTCAGTGTACCACCTTTGAAACTCCTGCTCTATGGCAAGCTGCCATAGTGCACCAAGACTTCTCAGTTTTTATCAATATCATCCTGCCTGCCAGTACAGAGGCCCTGGGAGGAAGGTGGCCGAGGCTCTGGCGGAACCGAGGGCATGCAGAGTGCAGGGAAAGAGGGAAGATGATGAGGGCCAGTTCCTGGAAGAGTTTGCTGGGCCACACTTTTGCAATCTACACTCCCCGTTTATCTCAGAGGCTTGCTTCTAAATGAAGAATCCCAAGTATGCAATATTCCTGTTTAGAAGGTGAGCTCCTTTCTGCCCACCAGAGGAAGAGAGCAGAATCTAGATAGGAGCCATAAAAATATAGCTGGATATTAGTATGTACTGTGATGATTTCCTGATTTCTAATAGAAATTTTGCCGCTGGGTGCAGTGGCTCATGCCTGTAATCCCAGCACTTTGGGAGGCCGAGGGGGGTGGATCACGAGGTCAAGAGATCGAGACCA